TAAATTCGAATCGTTAGATATTTTAGTCAAGCTCTGAGCAGTTATGCCATATGTTCTCTTATATTGCATGGATTCTTTTGTTAATACATATTTGAAAGCAATAAATGCATATAGTTTTTATTGTCCTTAATTCATAATGCCCTGGGACTCCTGAATCAAAGAAGGGCCTGGGGTCAGCTTGAGGCAACAGCAGAGTGAGGGTACTTATGAATGGGGACAGATGGCAGAGGCCGTGACCCCAGAAGTGGGTTGGGGAATGAAATAATGCAAATTATCATATGCACATACGAATATGTCACAATGAACCCTGCTATTGTGTGTAATTATAATGCATCGATAAAAGCATAAGAGAATAATCTTTACAAAGATAATTAAAAGTGATTCTTTTTGAAAAATAAATCAATAGCCTCCTGGGGCCAACATGGGCACCAGGGCAGATCCCTTGGATGCATGGACATAGCCAGACTTCATACCTATTTCCTCCTCACAAGTGAAACCAAAGAGGAGCAAGAATGGGGTGTGAAGCTCAGCCTCCCCCACACCAGAAACACAAGCATTTTCTCACATCACCTGTTCTTAAAGTGCATCGCCCAGAGTAGCCACAGCATCACCTGAGAATTTATTAGCAATGCAAATTCTTGACCCTACCTTGGATGTGCAGAACCAGAGTCTGCGGTTGGGACCCAGCAATTTGTGTTTTAACAAGCTCTCCAGGTGATTCTGACGCATGCTAAAATTGGACCACAGACTGATGCTCAACTATCATCTTGGATGTAAAAAGTATAGGAAGAAGATATCTAAAAATATCAAACACTTAACCTCAAAGAAATCAAAGACTAAAATATCCTTCAAGCAAGTCTCCCATGATCCCCATTCTCAGGTTCTCAATAATCAGAGTTCATAAGAAATTTTATTTATCTTGCAAAGATATAGAGAAATCTACAATTTCATCTGTCTGAAATTGTAGCAGGTAAATCTTTACCTCCCCACTATAATTTCCCAGTCATATTTACTATGAATTGATTAAAAGTTTGTGTTTTTCCTGTGTTTGTATTTTTCTCAGCAAAGCTGTCAATAGTCTTTGCCCAGGATTGGTCTCTTTTACAACCAAGTCTACTTTGATGTATGGCTTTGATCATTCTAGTATTAGGAGGACCACTTATAGAAGACACAAGCAGGTAAGTAGACCCAAAGTTCCTTAGGGTCAAGATGGCAGCCTAAAAATGTTCTGCTTTGGGAAAGGGAGCTGCCTGTCATTTTCCTGTGAATCCTAAGAGCCTTTGTGGATCCTAAGAGCCTTGTTCTTTGCAGATGCTCATTATAGATTTGATGAAATTAATGACAAATACATGTAGATTTAAACAGCATGGAAATGTCTTGTGGGAAAGATGACACATGAGTTGGACCTTGAAAAATTGGCAGAAAATGATTTTGGAGATTGAAGGCATTTAGCAGGAGGAGAAAAATGTGTATCATGAGATGAGCCAAAGTTTGGAGTGGTCTAAATGTGGAGTGTTTGGTATTAGTGTCTTAGTCTATTCAGACTATTATTACAAAATGCCACAAAAACTGATTGGCTTATAAACAACAGGAATTTATTTCTCACATTCTGGAGGCTGGAAAGTCCAAGAACAAGGCTCCAGCAGACTCTATGTCTAATGAAGGCCACCTTCTGCTTCTCAGACACCACTCTCTCCACAGGGTGGAAGGAGCAAATAAGCCTCTTCAGGCCCCTTTTGTAATGGCACCAATCCCATCTACAAGGGACCCACCCCCATGACCTAGTTACCTCCAGTCCCCATCACCTTGGGGACTGGGATTTCAACATATGAATTGGGGTGGTGGAGGGACAGGGCACAAACATTCAGACCATAGCACTGAGTCTGGGGAGAAAACTCTGTCCATGGGGGATCGTGATGAGCACCCACATCATTATATATATAGTTAAATGGGTTAGCAATTTACATAAGTCCTAATCCTTTGATTTATTCACCTACTATGCTAGGCGTGGGGCAAATTGTGGAGGACAGGACAGACATGGCACCTAAGTCCAGGGAAGAACAGAAGATGAGCAGTGACAGACACACGATAAATGCCTTGATAAGTGAAGGACCAGAATACTAGGGTAGTTCACTTGAGAAGGAAGGTGGGCCCATACAGCGTCCCCAGATGAAAAGATGTCTGAGTTGTGAGCTGAAAACAATGAGTAGGAGCGAGCCAGTCACTGAGGTGTGGGGGGAAGGGGTGCGAAGGAGCAAGGGATGGAGCTGGATGGGCAAATGTGGGTCAGTGTATGCAGGGACTTCTAAGTCACATTAGGTCTGAGCCTTATCCAGAAGGACATGAGGAATCTTAGGAGATTTTAAGCAGGGGGAAGAACAAACTTTGGATAACCTCACTCAGGCTGCAGAACAGAGGATAGCTGAAAGACAGATGCCTGATAGTGGCGGTCTTAATTAGCGAAGTAGTAATAAGAAAGGAGAAAAGTATAGAGTTGTTGGAAAAAAGAAAATCGGTAATAGTCCTGACATTCCCACTACTGACAGGTGGGGTGTCCGCCCCTGCCTTGAATTCGGGTGGACATATGACTTTAGTGAAAATAATCCCATGACTTCTGATGCCAGGTCATAAAAGGACAACAGCTTCTGCCTGGTCCTCTGGGGACACTCATTCCTGGAACCTGGCCACCATGATCTCAGAAAGCTATGTGTAGGAGTTCTAGCCCCAGCCCCAGGTGAGGTCCCAACATCAACTGCCACAAGTACAGAGTGAGGAATCTTCAAGCTGACTCCAGTCTCAGTCATAATCTGATGAGACCCTGAGCAAGAAGCACCTGGTTGACCCCAGTTAATTCCTAGGATAATGAGAATAATGAAGTGATTGGTGTTCAAAGCCACAGTTTTGGAGTGCTTCTGACAGTGATTCCCAGAACACTATCCCTAATATCACTCCAATTAAGCTCCTGTGTTAGTGCGGGAATGTTCAGGGGTGAGATGATTGGATTATGGGAGCTGTAATTTAATCGGTCTGTCCTAGTTTTAATGGACTGGAGGTAACTGTAGGCAGGTGAGTTGTGGCTGCAGGAGGTAGGTCACCCTGGGCGTGCCCTGGAGGGGTATATCTTCTTGCAGACCTTTCCTCCTCCTTGCTGACATCAGCTGAGCAGCTTTTCTCAGCTGGGCCCTTCCCCCACGATGGGCTGCCTTATCTTGGTCTCAGAGCAATGGAGTTGGCCGTCTACGGACTGAGACATCTGAAATCATAAGCCTCCTCTAAGCTGTTCTTAGGGATGTTTTGGTCACAACTAAAACTAGGAGATATCTTTTGGTTTCTTTCTCATATCTCTACTGGTTACAATCCTGAGGTTTGGATTTTGGGGCAAGACATCAACAGGAAGTAAAACAGTCTACACAGGTATCCGAGTTGAGGAATAAGATGTTCTGTCCAATCAAATATTCTCATGAACAGAAGTGGATGATTGAGGAAAATTAGTGATTGCAAAGAAACATCTTTTTTGTTTTCAAAGAAATGAACAAATTTTAAAGAATGAAGTACCCATCATAACTTATACCAACACTTTTTCTTTGATGGTTTACAACCACCTTTTATCTTGAGGTGAACATTATCACATTACTTAGCTCTGTACTACTGGGAACAGGTGAAATGGTCCAATTTCTGCAGACAGCAAAGCACCAGCCACCCTCTTCAAGGGGAATAGCAGGGATTGGGAAGGTTGCTATTTTTTGCTCACAAAATAGCCTTTTTCTTCTTTTTGCTAATGAATGGTCATTAGCTAACGACCAGTGCCACACTCACCCAGCGCTTATAGCTGTCTAAAGGTTCTTTGTGAATGTTAGACAAGATCCAAGATAAGTTGGGGGAACAGGAAATATGCCTTGTTGTTTCCTCAGACTTCAAGAAATCCAAATGCTTTTTTTTTTTTTTTCCCTTTTAAACACCACACACACACACAGAAGCCATTAAGCTTCTATGAAGATAATTAATCCCTTATATGGGGCTGCCTAATGTTTCATAGAGCACAAGTAAAAGAGATTCTTTGGATAGTTCTGAGGAGAAAGAACTAAATTTGTTTATGTAATTCTTCAACTAGGGGCAAGCATTGTACATGCTGCCTACGAAGGTGGTATCAACAGTGGCTATTTGTGGAGCACTTACTGTGTCTGGCACTGTCTGCAGGCTTCATATTCAGCATCTAGGTTCATCCTCAAAAAGCTGAGGAGCTTGGTGTTATTCCAGTTTACCAGAGGCAAGCTCCTGGCCACGCAGTAAGTCACAGGAGCCCTTAGCATCCTATCCCTTAAGGGACTCTCCTCTTTGAAGACATACAGTGTGGTATGGTGGGAAGGATTCTAGACTATAAATCTAGCTTTTAATCTCAGCGACACCACAAACTAGTAATGCCAAATTTGACAAGTCATCAACCTAAAAAAATGAAGGAGTTGATTAGGAGACTCAGAAGATTCCTCCTACTCTAAAATGTCTGATTCTATGGACAATTCTTGCCTGAGAATAACACTAAAGCAGTGTTTTGGAAGTAGCAGGAAAGAAAGAGTCTGTAGTACTCTTGGAGTCCACTGCTGGGCCCACCCTCTCTGTGGACCTTCAGAAACAAAAGGCACAACTGATGTGGGGCTGCTGTGTATCCTGCACATCAGTGGCCAGTATGTAAAATTCATCCTAAGTATGTAAAAATGCTGACCTGCTCTCACCACACATTTATTTTTTACAGGGGGCAGGGCAAAGGCTTCCAAGTAAAAAAAGAGATCATTAACAAAAGAGATGAACTGGAGGACCAAATATTTATGACCCACAAAGAAAAATCATTATCATTTACACTGGCATTGATTTTGAAAAGTACGTGGCTCACCCCTGACCAAAACAGTAACCATTTAAATTTGGCTTATCTGTTCTGAAAACTAAATTCTGGTCTTGTTTGTGCTGCTGACAAAATGAAAACAATCACAAGAAGTTTACTCAGGTGTGTTTTTATTTCTCTTATTTTTGAGAAAATATGACTCTACGAATTTAAATGAAAATTTTAAATTATTATACAACCACATGTAAGCACTATTTGGAGATGATAAAATGAGCCTCAAGTACCTTTTCAGGGTCAAAGAGCTAAAATGATGGCAGGACACTATGAAAATCCATGTTTTCCAATATGGTAGGATAGGGGTTTAGATCTCTTAAATTCAGCAAGGGTATAATTTGCAAGTAACTATTCCCTGAAAAAAATTAGTCCGAAAAAATTGACCACATTTAGTGAAGGCCATTTTTCAGGGCGCTTGTCAGGGTGCCACGTTCTTCCCTCAGCAGCTCGCACAGGGGAAGTCTCTTTTCTGAGGTTGCGGAGCTTTCTCTGTCTGATCTGGGTCTTCACAGTGGCACAACATAATAATTTCTCTGATCAGCATGACACCATTCAATGAACTCAGGACTTAGGGAGAAGACTTGGTGTTAGCACAGCGTCAACCAAAGTTAGATGCCTGACATCTCAGAAAAGCCAACCGTTCACTTGAAGCAGGCCCCTTAGACCCAAGGAAGTCTGAAAATGAGGTTACTCAGCCAACAGGGACTGGCTGAGGGGCTGGAAGGTCCGACGGCTGATTGTCCTCTTGTTTAATAGCAATGTATGGGACTTCTTGTCCCTGGGGGTACGACAGAGCAGAGTATCCAGTGTGTAAGTGGTGACCTGGCCATTTATGTGCAATTTCCCATAGATCTCGTCAAATTTGGCCAGAAGGTTGGGTGCATCATCCTTCACTTTTTCCCTCACCTTGACCAACTGGAAGAAAGAGCAGATCATTACATCTCTACCAGATTTCTTCCTTGTTCTTTTTATTCTCTAAGAAACAAGAAACAGACCTGAGCAAAAATGTACAGTGCACAATTAAAGTGATAAAAACCAGGGTTCTGAGGCACAAAGTGGCATGACTGACTGTAAGAGATTCCACCAGCTACATGCAAAATTCAGAATTCATACTTGAAAACCACAGTTTCCTATAAAAGAGTGTTCAAATGGCATGTATTATACAGTGTTACACATCAGGGAAGGACATCAAATATCAATGGAATTAACTTTGTTCAGTGTAATGATTAGAGCGGGAGAAGGGTCACACCACATCGGGCTTTACATACAGTCCATGGTAACTGTTTGAATTTAGCTTAAAAGCACATCAAACGGTCTAAATGGGACATGATCTGATTTAGGTTTAAAAAGCTGTTCAGAGAATGAATGGGAGGGTGCAGGAACATGAAGATAATAGTGGAGGCCACTACAGCAGTCCAGAGAAGAAAGGATGGTGGTTTAGAATAGAGAAAAGATGAAGAAGTCGATATGTGTAAAATATATTTTGGAGAGTGAATTTTGGAGGGGAAAATCAAGGTCTGTTTTGGACATGACTGAGACACCTGTGATACACCTATGTGGACTTGGGGAGAGGCAGTTAACATACAGGTCTGGGATGTGGAGGAGAGGTCTAGGCCAGAGGTATAAACAATAAGTGTATAGCATTTAATTTTATAAATAACAGTGAGCTCAAAGTTAGAACGTGAAGCTACTTTCTGAACAAAATCAACATTGTGCCTAGTTTAATTCTTATCAAGATACAGCTTACGTACATTTCTCAGTGAAATTTAAGTGAGTTCAAGATTCCTAACAAATCCTTTGGTCATCTTCTAAATAAAGCATTTTATTTGCCAGCTGCACATTCCCCCAGCCAAACCTTCAGACAAGCAGCCTAAGCTCTTCATAATGGTTCTTGAAAAGAATAGCTTGTTTAGTCCTCAAGTTCAAGGTGAACTGATTTAATGTGCAGCATATGGCTTCTAAAAGGAGCAAACATGCCAAGCTGGAGGGAATGTGTGTTAACTTCATACACTACATCGGTTGTATCACCACAGAAATATTAAATGGCATCGTGAGTCCCATGCTAAAATTTACGCAGAAAAGAGATTTTATTAATTTCATTTTAAAAAAGAAATCAACAAAAAAATAGCTAATGCTTGAGTCTTTTCGTAACAGCACTGTAGAAAATCAACAATTCTTTTTAATACTTCTGGTACAATAATAGCAGCTTAAGTTTAGTCTTATTGCCATACTTTTTTCCCCCCCTGGTGGTGCTGGGGACTGAACTCAGGGCCTTGTGCATGCCAGGCAAGTACTCTACCAACTGAGCTATATCTCCAGCCCCTTCACACATTTTTAATGGGTATAAATATTAAATACAGCATTTTAAAAATACAGTTGACAATATTACACTCCATACACAATCCCTCATACATGTGTTTAGAACTAACTCAAAATCTACTGGACTTGTTATAAATCAATTCATTTCTCATCAAGCAGATCCCTGAGCGGTCTCACAGTAACCAGGGGTAATACACGGAACTAGAGATTAGTTTTCAAAGTAAAAAAGTCTTATATCAGAATTTTTCCATGTAGGGTTTGTTTGGATGCTCCAGTCATGTAAATGGGTGACTGTAGGTCTAAGGAAAGACTAACATCAATGCTGTTGAGAAAACTGATTTGTATCAGTGTTATGCAATCATGTATGCATATGTGCTTATGAATGCATGTATGTACACTTACATACATACACACATGATGGTACACAAAATTTGTTCATATTTCCAGTTCCTCTATTTTTAAAATTTATTCCAGAATGGCTCGGGTGGGCCACAATCTACAGAGCCGGGACCTCAGATACAAAGAAGCTTTAAGTTAACCATATCCAGTTAGTTTCCTGACATTTCCTTTGCCGGCAGGAAGAAGTCTTCGGGCAGAAGTGAGGAATAAGTGGAAAAGGGCTGGGAGGGCAACAGTTTGACAAGGGAGAAAGCAGCCACCTGCCACCTTGGTCATCAGCCTGGGCCAGGACTATTCAGGCAGAAGAAGGAGGAAGAAATAGGGAATAGGGCAGACCAACTAACAGACCACGCTGTTAGTCAAAATAACAATGCCAGTATTATTACTGACAATACGACCATTGTCAATAATTTATGATCTCTTTATAGTTCTCCTCTCCCTTATGTTACATGGCATTAGAGATGTACAAATGACTACATTTCAAATGACCAGCAATAATTCCTCTTTGCATACTTAAGCCTACAATATGGCCCAAGGGTTTGTTTCATTTTGCTTTCAATTCCTAGGAATTTCTTTTCCTCTTCATTTTTATTTAACTTTGTTTCTGAATTTTGCAAAGCATTTACTTTGTTCCAAAATCAAACATACAAGGCTCTGGTTGTAGCTCAGTGGTAGAGCTAGAGCGCTTTGTGTGAGGCACTGGGTTTGATCCTCAGCACCACATAAAAATAAATAAATAAAATGAAGGTATGGTGTCCATCTACAACTAGTTTTTAAAAAGTCAAATATACAAACAAGGTACATTCAGAAAAGTCACAGTTCTCTCACTTTTCCACAACTGTTTTGATTAAGCTTTGGTTTTTCCATCTGTTGTTTTTCAAAACTCTCAACCTATTCACATATAAATATATAGTTATGTGTCACTTAATGATGGGAATATGTTCTGAGAAATGTGTTGTCAGGCAACTTACATGAACATAAGTGTACTCAGACAAGCAAAGATTACCATGTATGTTACTAGGCAATAGAGAGCCCTCCATGCTCCCACCCCTGTATTGGCGGTTAACTCCAGGGCCTTGCATGTGCTGGCCAAGTGCTTTACCACTGAGCTACATCCTCAGCCCTTTTTATTTTGAAACATGGTCTAAGTTGCTGAGGTTGGCCCTGAACTTCCAATTGTCCTGCCTCAGCCTTCCAGGTAGCTAGGATTACAGGTATGTACCATTGCACTTGTCTAAGCAATATAATCTTATGAGAGTGCCATCACATAAGCAGTCAGTCACTGATCAAAATGTCATTATGTACTGCCTGCCTATATGAACACACACACACACACACACACACACACACACACATTCCCTTCTTAGAGCACACCACACTGATTTGTATCTTGCTTTTTTTACTTAGTAATATATATCCAAGTGGTCCATATATGTAGTGATCCACAGAATTACATGTTGTAGTTATTCCTCATTTCTTTTAGAGTTGCATAGCAGTGCTTCCTATGAATACAACCTAATTTGTTCAATTAGTTCTCTAAGAAAGAAACTGGGTTATTTCCAGTCTCTTGTTATTACAAATCAGCCTGCAACAAACAGCCTTCTACATACAGCTTCTTACATTTTTGTCAGTTTATGTATTCTAAGAAGTGGGAGGCTTGAGTCGAAGGGTAAATTCGTTTATAATTCTACTACATATTGCTGAATGTCTCCCCACAAGGACTATACCAATTGCATTCCCTCCACCCTCATGAGATGATGATTCCTGTTTCCTCAGAGCCTTATTGCTATGGTTTGATGTGGTTTATCCCCCAAAAGTTCATTTGTTAAAAGCTTGGTCCCCTGTGTGGCGTGGTTAAGAAGTAGTGGACCTTTAAGAGGTGAAGCTTAGTGGGAGGTCACTGTGGTCTCTGCCCTTGGAAGAGATTCTATGGGACCCTGAGTTGGTTCTTGTAAGAGGATTGGTATAAAAGAGTAAGCATGCCCCTCTCCTACTCTGGTTTCTCATCATAGCATGTGACTTCTCCTCCAGTAGGAGTTTCCACTATGATGCCATCTACCATGAGGTAACACAGCCAAGGAGGCCCTTGTCAGAGCCTGTGCCACAGTATTTGAACTTTCAACCTCCAAAACTGTAAACTAAGTAAACCCTTTTTCTTTGAAGCAAAGAAATAGCAGCCTGAGGTATTTCATTACAGTAATGGAAAATGGACATTCAAAGAATAAGATGTCAAACTTTCAGATTTCTATCATCCAAGGTATAAGTAAAACCACAGGTAAGTTTTATTTTGCATTTCCTTTAATATGAGCAAGGTTAAGAATCTTTCCAAATACTTAAAGGTCATTCATAATTCTTTTAAGTGAATTCTGTCCCTATCTCTTACCCATTTTTCTTTAGGGTTGTTGGTCCTTTTCTTACAATGTTTAAAAACTGTTCTTTATATATTAAGGTTAGTTAGTTCTCTGTATAATTAAAGTTTGAAAGCTTTTTCTTCCAACTTGTTTACCTTTTGACTTTGTTATGGTGTCTCTGTCATACCAAAAAACAAAAACAAAAACAAATTTATGCAGTCAAATTTATCAATCTTTTCTTTTTTGGTACTAAGGATTGAACCCAGGGCGTAGGGACACTTAACCACTGAGCTATATCCCCAGAGTTTGTTTTGTTTTGTTTTGAGACAAGGTTCTTCCTAAGGTGCTGAAGCTGACCTTGAACTGCTCCTGTCTCAGACTCTGGAGTGCTGGGATTACAGGCATGCGCCACCATACCCAGCTCAATCATTTCTTTTATTGATTTGGATTTTTGACTAAGAAAGAAAATTTTCCACTGTCAGGATATAAAGTAATTCACTAATGGTTATACTTAGTGATTGCATTGTTTCATTTTGAAATTTTCATATCTTATCCATTTGGAATTTATCTTGGCTTGTGGTACAAGAACAAATAAAATTTTTGTATTCCACTGGCTCTCTACTTTTTCTAGTACCACTTCTTAGAAATGTCTATCTATTTTCATTTATCTGAGACACTGGCTTTTGTCTTCATCTAAGTATCCCTGGACTTGCAATGCTATCTCATTAGCTCACCCATTCATGTGCTATTGCCATGGTTTGCATTATAGAAGCTTTAATATGCTTTAGTATCTGCTCAGCCTTGTATTTATTATTGCTCTTTTTCATAGGGTTTTCTTAGCTATTCTTTCTTGGTTGTAATTGCATCTAAACTTAAACTACAGAAAGAAACACAGTGAAATCTTTATTGGGATCATATTATCTCATCACGTTAACTTGGGGAGAACTGACTTTATGAGGCTGAATCTTCCTACCTACATGGTAGGACAAATTTTTAGGATGAAAGATACTATACCCTATTGTTTGCAATTAGGAATGACCATGGGAAAGGAGATGCTCAAAAGAATAAGACAATTTCTAGGCTGATACCCTGGAGAGGGGGCAGAGAGTACACCATGCAAGGCTGGATTAAGAGATGCGTGCAGTCACCATGGGAATACAGAGAAAGGAGCCAGAGGCTGTCTATGGGGCAGTCATTCTTTTCTGATGATTTCTATTTTCTCCATAAAACAGGAAGCAAGGTCATTAACTGAGCATAAGACAAGAGGAGAAAAGTATTGGAAGCTTTAGGGGAAAGGAAAAAGGTGTAAAATTGTCATCCACGTGTAAAAGAAACAAAGCTCATGAAAACTGTGCACAGAAAAGAGTAACATAAACAAAGATGTTTTCCTAGACTATTAGAAGACATATTCTGTCGGAATAAAACAAATCTTTGTATGCAAACAAAAGCTTTACAACAGGAATGACGGAGCTGCCATGTTTGACATCTCTTTAAGGAGATGGGCTAAAGAATCAAGAAATCAGGTGAATATTTTTAAGAGTGCTTTTTCACTTTTAAATGATTTCTGCAGCACTTGCACACTCACCACTTCCTCTGAGAACACACGTTTTTTCACAAATATTGATAAATTTCCTTCTGCAGCATTCATTAGTATATCTATCAGGGTTTCCAACATATTTGACTGGATATGGATAAAAATCTGAATAAAAAAAGAAACAAGCAGGCAAAAACAAGCATGAGCCAGTATTTCAATGGTTGGAAACGCACCTAGCTACATAAGTTTGCATCAATAGGCACACGCCATGTTTTGATGCTAATTCCTAATACATTCAATCACTTGTGCAGGTTCAAAACAGTGCTTATGTTGTAACATGAGAAATTGAGACTGGACATTTAGAAGAGATTTCTGGGTTATAATTTTTGAACAAAAAAAACTATCTTTAAGTCGGTGACCCAGTTCATAAAGAGGATGATTCATATTCAGCATCAATTCAAGGTTCCTTACATGGTCCTTGCCTAAAGGATAACCCTCCCACTACATGCACTAGCTGATCTTCCAGTTCAGAGAAAAGGAGCCCATCCTCCTACCCTGGCACCGAGCACACGCCCTGCCTACCATGCTCTGCATTTCTCCTCCTACTGGGCATAGACAGCCTCTGGTATCTTTTTTGGACACCACTGTTGTCCACAACTAGTAGGAAGTGGAGAAGTAAAAACAAAACAAACAAACGATATTACTAGAGTTGATTAACAGCTGTGAGAGACAGGTAAGGACAGAGAGCTGAAGAGTCTAAATCTGCGAAGTGGGCTACATGCACTGGCAGTGGATTATGTTTTTTGACATCTAATCCTATGTTCTGTTCATTACCACTCAGGAGGAGTGGCCAGCTCCAGTCCTGGATGAGAGAGGCACAACCCTCCTCATCTCTGTAGGTCTGGAGAGGAGAAACCTGGGGCCTCAATGTCAGGTGTCTGAGTTAAAACCCTGACTCATATATCTGCTGTGAGAACTTGGGTAACTGAACTTACCCTTTGACTCTTCATTTCCCTACCTATACTACGGAGGAATACTGTTTTGATAGGCCTCTATAAAATGAGCTAATGAATGTAAAGTGCCTACTGTAACTTAGCTAAAATTAAATTAAAACCTGCCCATCTCACTATCTTTGATTTCTCTCTACTAACCTCATTTCAACTCCAGGAAAAACTACCAATGATCCACCTATAGCACCTCTCCCACACTCTACTGGATTTCTTTCCTTCCTGATGCTCTGAACTATTGGATGGCTTTGGCTTTAGGGGAAGAGTTTCTTGTTAATTCCAGCAATTCTACTCCTGTCCCATCATAAAATTAGCACATCTGCAGGCCACTCCCCTCAGAATCAGTCACACACTTGAACACCAGAGTTGCCCATAACCAGTAGGAAGTGGAGAAGAATACAAATGACATATGGTATCTGCTAGAAGACCAGGGTTCCTAGTCTTCTGGTGGCTCAAATGACAGGACCTTTGGGACTCTGGAGCTTTGCCAAACAGCCTCAGCCTCCCAGACCTGCCTTAGCCTCTGAATTTTCAGCTTGATGCCCCCAAAGCTTCTCTTTGGACAGTGGGGATCTGCTATTCCAGGTGGGGTGCTGAGCCCTGCTGGAACTCTACACAGCTGTTATTGTTCCCTGACTTTTCTGATGCTTCCTCTGCCTCACCATGAACGCCTTATAAACTCATTTGTGAGTCTCTTACATCCCTTTCTTGTGGCATATGTCAGTTCACAGCAGACTCATCACTAGGTGTCTGCAGACTGACTGAGCTGACGGCTTTCACACTCTTCCCCTCCCGGCTTATGCCCTATGCAAAATACTTTGTGGGCATTTTCCTAGAAGTCTCTTCTCTTCTAAGACCATCTCCTTCTCAGATTCTCTGTTGTCATTGGCTCCATCTTTCCCTCATGAGAAATCATTTTGAAAAGTTAAGTGTAGACTCCAGTATCCTTCTAGACTTCTGGCCTAACCTTATTCTCTGAAATTGACCATAAATGTTGACCTAGTCATTCTCCCGAAGTCAATGGGCAGTGGAGTGGGGGTGACTTTTGACAATAACCACTAAAGTACAGAAATGAAAATCATTATTACTGTTAAGTGTTACTATTTTTTTTCTGAGAAGCTTGGGAATTTTGTCTAATTCCCATTCTGAAATTTTTTCCTTTTTATTTAACTGACCTTATGTGAAACAAATACTACTAGTATTGGCAAATATTAATTGATTAAGTGTCTGGCACTATGCAAACTACCTCATTCACTTACTTCTTTCAATGCCCAAAATAAAAGAACAAGTATCATTACGGTTTCAGATCAAAGGAAATCAGGATCTACAGAGATGAAGTAACTTACCTAAAATTCAGATGGTAAGAGGTGCTTAGAATTAAGAGTTTGTATTCTTTTAAACAAAAGCCTCACTAAAAGCAATCTGTTAGCAAAGAACGTACTTCTACCTCCATCCCTTCAATCACACAGACCTGTCTTCCTTCAGAACACTGCTCGACATGACCTCCTCTCCCAGACCTCAGTTAGCCCTGTCTTGTCCTTCATTCCCTCTTCTTGGAATACTCCAATGCATCTGGGATCTGTTACCCTAGTTCATCTCACACCGCTCTTCACATGGTTCAGTTCCATGGAAATATTTTCTTCTTCTCAGTCCCTTGACTGTTTCAGGAGATGGGAAGCCCTTGAAAGCTGGGGACTTTTCTTGTCCAACTCCTCACAACACAAATGCACTCAGCACACAAGCAGGGCCTTGAAAGGAGCTGGCTGCATGGAGACTACAGTGCCTTTAATGATAATATGGTCTTTTTAAATTTTTTATTGGAACAGGAAGGTTTAGGTGACTCACTGTTCAAAAACTGGGAGCGGTGACAGAATATGCTTTTGGGAGGAATGTTTTGTCTTTGTTTTGGTTTTAGGGGTTAAGGTCATACATGTCTTGGTGGAATGAGTACAGCTCTTGCTGACCCAAGCAACAAGACTCCAAACAAGTGACACAGTAGTCCAGATAAGTCAATGAAGCCAATGGACCTTGGCAGACTGGCAATATAATAAGAATGAAAACAGTTGATATCTACTGAATGCTTACCATGCATCAGACATAGTTAATGCACCATAGGTAATGAGCTCATTAATCACAAAGACATATGAGTTAGCTGCCACAGCTGGAATGCAATTAGCATGCAGGTTTCTCTTAAGGTCCAGTAAAGAGACTGGTGATTTTGTCTCCATTCCCTTCCTCTTTCCGCATCTATAGGAGTCCTAGCTATGCCTTCTGCCTTCAGCATTTAGCCCTGTCTTCCATCTGAGTATATCTAACCTTCCCACATATTTATAAACTCCTGGAAGCAACTGCTGTTGACTCCTCTCATGGGGTGATTCTGTAACTTACACACAGAAGAGCTCAATAAAACAAAAAAAGAGCTCTTTTGAACTGAATAAAGACCTTAGGGGATCAAGTTGTTGTACACAGACTGAAAATGCAAACATTTTACTATATTTCAAGTCTTATCTTTAACCATAAAGAAGTCACTTACATTTAAATTTGTGCAAGTTATGTTCTCTGGATTCATGATTTGAGAAAAAATGGATGCAGCTTTTGCTACCTGGTTCTGAAGGAAAACAAACAAACAAACAAAGTAAGTATTACCCCAAATCATGAGTTATTACTCTATCACAAAGATCATTAATGGAAGGCAGAATATGACTATTCACAAAGCCCCAGAGTATTCAGTAATCAAAAATAAATACTGCATAAACTGTGTCATCCAATAGCATATAATTCTATGCTTTAACAACCTGCCTAAGTCAAATTTTTTAAGATAGCAGCATTAGGTTAGAATTTTCTCTTGTCCCACTGGAATTAGCTTTTAAGTAAAACAAGAATGAGAAACACAAACACAAATCCTATCTCTGACATAAAAACTTCAAGCCAGAGAAGAGGTGGAAACACTTCAAGAACCCTGGAGAGGGAGCCTGGGAAGGTTTTTAAAGGATCTCACAAGGCCAACCTGAAGTGCATAACCTAAAATCATGTTTACAGTAAAGTCAACACAGTTCTAAACTAATGAGGGAAACTTTCTGGGTCCTTGTAGTGGCAGGTGAGCCAAGTCAAGGATTTCCACAGATAAGCCATGTTTGCAGGAAGCAGTGTGTGACTATGGCAGCAGCACAAAAGAGACTGTCACTGAACACCACCACAATGCCTATTTTCATTGGCCAGGGAGAAGTAAACCTATACATACTTATAGGCAGAACTTTACATGTTATATAACATACATGTTATTAATTATTTTACCTAAACAAAAAGCCTGCTAGTCTAGAATAGGGTTCAGGTGCCTGTTTCTTTGCTCTCTCTTAAATGAACTTCCTGCAAATGGCTGTTCTAAGAGAAATTTGTATTTTTCAGTGATGAATAATCAAAAAAGATGCAGCACATGAACTCCACAGAGACATTTTTTAAAAACGTTTTTAGTTGTAGATGGACACAATACCTTGATTTTGTTTATGTGTGAGGCAAGCGCTCCACCACTGAGCCACAACCCCAGCCCACACTGTGTTTTCCTTAAAGGAAGAAAGGAACACAGTAAAACAAAGATAAGAAAATAACTGGTAGATGAGGAAATTCCAATACAAAAATATTCCCAAGGATATCAAGGACACAAATGAGAAAATGAACAAGATCCCCTCAATCCTAAATGGAAGAAAATCAGGCAGACCTCAGATTTCTCCATGGCAATATTCCAAACCAGAAGACAAAAGAGCAATGCCTAAAATAATCTCAAGAAAAAGCAAGTGTCATCTCAAAAATTTAAACCTGGCCAAAAACAAAAGGCAAATAAAATAATTTTAAGGAAAGAGCTCAAGAGAATATTGCTCCTCTGAAAATATAGAAGAAAACACTTGAGCCAACAAAAAGAAGACTGGAAGAATAATAGCAAAGCGGGCCAAGACAAACATGGGGAATATGGTTACAGAACAGACAGCAAATATCATACACCAGGACAACAGGGCAATGGCAATACCAACAAAAACAAGAAAAGGGAAAATGAAGATTAAGAAGTAAGGTATGCCATTTTCTTCTTTTTATTACCTGTGGGTCAAAAATATAATTTAAAGCTGATAAATATTTAAGAGAAAAGTAAACACTATGAAAGATAATGTATCAACTAAAATTAGATGGTAGTGAAGGACGAAAATAAGAGGAGAAAAAGAAAATATGCTAATTTCACCATCACTTATAGTGGGGAATTAATAGGTATTATCAAAGGAACTAGAGAATTAAGAAAATTCAATAAAGTTATAGCTTTAAAGTAATCACTAGAGCACAGAAACAACCATATGAGATATTTTAAGTTAAAAAAATTAAAGCATCAAATAAAGTAAGACCTAAGATCATCTATATGTCATATAAATATAAGCGGGTTAGGAAAGACCTGCAAACATTATAAAATTGAAATTTATGCAATGTACAAGAGATTACACCTAAAACAAAACAATTCAGAAAGAGTGGAAATCACAGAATGGGAAAATGTGTAAATATCAGGCATATGTAAACCTAGTCAAAATAAAGAGAAATTCAAACAAGGGTAGAGATATTAATATTGTACAAAGTTGAATTCAGGGCAAAAGCATTAAACACAACCAAGAAAGGCACTATATGAAAGTGAGAGATTCAAAAATATGACATGACATCTGTACTCTAAACAATGTAACTTACACAGACATAAAGGGGAAAAAGACCTAAAAAAGAAATGAAATCATGTGCCTTAAACAATTCCCGTGGACAAAGAGGGAACCAGTGGATGCCTATTGAGTGAAGGACAAGTCTTTGTCCTTCAGTGATTTGTTTCCAGCACCATATGGAAATGGAGCACCCAGATATTCTGATTTCTAATTAGAAGTAAACAAGAGTTCTCTGCCATATTGTACCAGCTGAGTAAATAACCTGGTTTGGGTAGTATTTCTCTGCCATAAAATATCTTTAACTACATAGTAAACATACAAAATATTTTGTATTTTTAAGGCCTTGGAATAGGCAGGGCTCTTTAAGAGTGGCTACTCCACCAGTGTTTCTCATTAGCTAGGATGAAACTTACTTGAAACTTTCAATTTAAAGAAATTCAAAGCTGGGCGGGGGTTATGACTCGGTGGTAGAGTGCTTGCCTAGCATGCATGAGGCAGTGGGTTCATTCCCCAGCACCACATAAAAAATAAATTTATTCTACAAATAAAATAAAGGTATTGTGCACATCTACAACTAAAAAAAATGTATTAAAAAAATTCAAAGCTAAAGATATATATGTACATATACTTTTGTATGTATTACATACATATATATATATGTATATATATATATATATATACACACACATACATACATTTATATCTTTGCATGCAGTTTGTCAGGTTATACAGATTTTTTTATTAAGGATTTAAAAATGAACACACCATATAGGATTGAAGTATCTGATTTGATTAAAATTTTGTATATCACCAAATTCTTAAAAAAGTAACAGTCAAATGCTAAATAACATAAAGTTGGTTGCTATTACACCTTAAAAATTGAGTATACACACAATTACCTGTTTATATGTGCTCATTTGTTATTCTCAAAAATAATGCGTGACTATGATATAGTCAATAGATTTTACCAGCCACGGTTTTGCTACTTTATATTCAAAACTAAGTTTGTTCTTAGTGAGAATCATAAAGTATTTTGTAGAAGGGCCAAATCACAGAATAAAAGGATAAAGTGAATTCGCCAACATTCCTAATATACAATGTTTATGCTTTCTTTAAAATTACTAAAAGATCAAAATCTCAGAAGTAGTTTGCTGCTAATATATACATATATTGTATAAAAAGGTGTATTCTGGTTTTCTTAAAACCCTTGGTGACTTTTCTACAGTGAACATTTTTATAAACTTGGTTTAATAAAAATTTTAATTTTGGAAGTGAAGTTTTGTAAAAACCTTTTTTAGTCAAACAGCAATGACTTTATTTATAGACAGTAATAACAATCACACAAAAAGCCATACATCTTAATGCCTTTGTTCTGTTATTCTAAGAGTAATGTTTACTGTATGCTTTAACATTTTTTCTGCAGTTAACATGAATGTAATTTTAAGAACAGCAGGGCGAGTTCTTTCTAAAAAGATACTTTCGACTACATTTTTTTTTTCCAGTTTAAAGCAATAACTGTAGTAGTTTCTTTCAAAGTTTAACATGCCCAGTATGTCATCTTAAATCATTCTGAAATTTGCAGACTTCTTTAAAGGAAAATTGTTGTAGAGGTCATCTTGATGAAATTTTATTCTGAAGTTTTGTGAATGAGTTAAATATTAATAGTCTCATGTGTTTTACAAATAAGCTTTTTCATAAGGAAAATATTGACTTTGGGATTTGCTTTTCTCTGGGAGCTCATGTATAAAAGTAATTGTTTAAAATTGCCCCTTCTTTTATCACTGGGTTGGAAATAGGGATAAAACCTGTACACTTTAATTTATGGAAATTAAGTTCATGGGAAAAGGGTCTTATTTTAAATAATTTGTCAGGATAACTGTATTAATACTGATACCCAAATTTCACAATACCACTTAGGAAAGCCTTTTCTTTAAACAAATTACAGTTTATGTTGTTCAGAGTCTTATTTGAGATGTGTTGCTTTATTTTTCAATTAAAAATGGTTTTCTCCTAAAAAAAGGAGTGGATTTTCCAAGGTTCCAGCTCTTTGTCCTTCATTGACTCTGAGGTATGACTCGGGGAGGTGTCCTCTCTGGGTTTCAGATGCATTCATTTATCTGATGGGGGGTTATGGGGGGTTGAGAATGGATGTTAAGCCTCAACCTAATAATAGTAATTGGGTCTAACTATGAAATCCCATTCTAGCAATGGGCTGTGGCAGGAGTCCTCATTTATCTAAGGTGAATTCAGCTTTGGAGAGCATTAATTTAAACTGCTCTCTGAGAGCATTACATAATAAACTGACCATTTGCAATCTTCATTTTAATTAACTAAGAAAATTCTCTCTAGAGTCTGGCATTCCTCTCTGGTTCCCCACAGGATCTTGGCCAACACATTCTAAATAGAAATGCATGTTAGGTCCTCAACTATAAATAAAAACATACAGGCATAGATGTAGACTGCTATGGCAACAAAGGCATTGTTTTCTTTACAGGAACTTTTTCTTTACTTCACAGTCAGAAGGGTAAAAAATTAATTAAAATAAAAAATAAATGAAAGTAGGGAAGTCCTGCCCACTCCCAATTTACTTATGTGCACCCCAAATCTTACCTGGTTCAGAGCTAACGCCACTGCAAAGCAGGAGGCTCTCCTGGAAAGAACGTCTCCTTTGATTAGGGCTTCTTCTCTTAATGTAGTACAGATTTTAAAAGACTCTGGGCTATTCTGTGAGGAGACAGGATTGCTTAATAAATGTCATGAACTTTTACCTTTAAAACTAATTAATGTGCTTAGCATTTCAGATATTCTTTTGTAAGTACTTCCCAGAGCCTACCTCAAGTCAATTAAAAAGCTAAGCTCCTCATACAGCAAATAATGGTCTTTGCAAACAGAACAGGTTATCTACATGTTCGCCACTCAAATCCAGCTTAACTTTACTTTTCAAGCTGTCAACTTCTGACTTGGGGCATCCAGGTCTCTTTGTATCTGGGTAAGCTAGTTTCCAGACAAAGATGCTGTAGTAGAAAAGTACAGTCAGCCTGCTACTCTACTAAATAGTATAATAATGCTCAGTAACACTAGGAAACTTTTCTGGGAGGATTCCCAATCTGAAAATATCTATATAAGCTTAAATATTTAAAAACATCGACACTAATATGAAGATAAATTATAAAAGAATCTCCTCAAAACAGAAACCTTAAAAAAATTCAAGAATGTGAGTGACACACAAACCAGCAAGACAACAATGGTGAACCAAATCCCTTTCCACCCCGTGTCACACTGCAGGTAGATGAAGCTTTCGAGAATAGCACCAGCTGTGCGTGTGTCCTATGTCATGTCATGACTTACCTTCCAATCCTCAAACAACTCTGCATTTGATGAGAGGGCAGTTCTCAGAACTGACCTGGAATCTGCACTGCCTGACCAGCTCAGTTTTCCAACTTGTCTCTACTAAGTGTAACAAGTTATTCTTGGACACAATGCAGGTGAAAAGTCTTCTTGCTCTTCTTATGCATAAGAATTGAATTCTACCTCAGCATACACACAGGAAAGTGTCTTTAAATTGGCCAGAAAATTGACTAACTGATGCTCCAGTGTTGTGTGTTTTGTTGGCCTTCTGCTCCAGAAGGATCATAGGATGGTGTGGTTGGGAAGAATGTGATCTAACCCAGGTGTCAGCAAATGATAGCCCTTGGGCTATATCCAATCTACAGCAAAGAATGGTCTTTATGTTGTTAAAGGCTTATAAAAATAAAAAACAAAGAATATGTGACAGAAATTATATGTGGCAGAAACTGTATGTTCCTCAAAGCCTCAAATACTTACTATTTGGCCTTTTACAGAAAAAGCTTGCTGACTGCTGAATCCAACCCGCTCTCATTTTATAAGTGAGGTACATGCATGCTCAGTTCAAAGACAAGTCAGTTGATACAAAACTGAGACTAGACTCCAAGTTTCTCAATTTCCCATTTGGTCTCATTTCCACTGTTAACCCACCTGCCTCTCTGTTTTGGAAAGCTGGTACTGCTATATTAGGGAGCTTTTCAAAGGCCCATGTTCTTCAGCCTTGCTTGGTGTTCTTTTGTTTTCAGTATAAAATGATTCTCTTATCCAAATATCCAAAGATTAAATGGCATGCATGAATGACTAAAGTAATGTACTGAGGCTTGGTCATTTCACTATTTCAGTTATCAATCACTGAACAAATACTGAAGGAATAGTTTTTATGTATAAGAAACAATCCCGGTACAGTAATGACAAAAGGACTTGTAAGCCAGGGCTCCTGTCCTTAGAAAGCCTTTTGAATGCCATAAACATTTATTAAAGCCCTGTCAGGTATTAGGTACTATGTCAGATGCTGGGATACAAAGAAGCCTCAGGGATCTCCTGCTGTAGGAGGAGGAAGAAATCTGGGCAAAGTTAAGTACAAGTATGTGATATAAATAGAGCACAATTAGGGGATGTTTGGAGGAGATGTCACTTTAGTACTGGCGATCACAAAAACTTCACAGATGAGAGCAAGGTAGTTCTGGAGTTTGACACAGAAGGATGCTCTGATTTCAGAGAAAATGGCAACAGGAAAAACAGATCTAGTAGAGTCCAGCATATGAGACAACTCTAGAGTAGAGCTTGACCCTGACACAGTCTCTTGTTCTCACTATCTACACAATCTTCAGAGAAGAGTAAAAGATAATTGCTTTTCCTATGATCAAACTGTCAGACAAGACTAACTTGAGTTTTCTAAAAATGAATACATTTAAAATTGAAATATTCCCACCAGATGGAAAACAGACTTCAGGGAAACTGAACTTTATTTGTAGAGAATAAAAATAAACCCCCTTTCAAACACTACCCACAATGCCCTGAAACTTAAAAGGAAATAGTCTTACCAGTTTGTAGCAAATTGCAAACGCAAGGACATAGGTGTCTTTGGTGAACTTCACATCTTGGTTTTTCATCTCTATCAACACTTCCAAGGCATCTGCCAAAAGTGAGGAGTGGCCAGCAGTGTTAAATCCATCTACTGGTGGTGCCCAAAGCTCTAACTTGTTCAGCACCATCTACTGAATTCAGTAGAATAAAAGCTGTTCTAAAGTCATACAGCAATTAGCTAAATGTCAAATTAAATTATCAGGTCAAGTAGGAAGAACTAAAATTTTAAAAGCTGCCACAATTTTAGCATCAGCAAAATCTGAAATGTTTCATTGAAGGAATAACATGCAATGCAATGTTTTCAAATTTAAATAATGAGGTCTCCATAATTTAGCCCCTCATAAGGGTTGTTTTTGCATGGTCCATTTCCCCCCCCAATTGCTACATTACCAAAGACAGCAGAATTTTTCAACAACAGGTGGTAGTACTTACTTTTATATTTGCCTTTGATAAATAACATATCCATCAAAATATTGAATGATGTGGAGTCTGAGAAGAAACCATGTAAATGCTAATGAAGAAAAACAATACAGTTTGGTAAAAAGTTAAAACTATTAAAGAGGCATTTATACTGTATCTTCTCTATCCAAGTCTTATTCTTGCTGCATCTGGCCTCCTGAGGTCTCTAATAATCTGAAATACCAAATATTTATTTTTTGAAAAAAGTTTAAGCTGCTGCCCACTGTGTTGCCTTTGGGAATATGCACATTGAACAAGAGGCAAGAGCTCTCTGGGTTTCATAAATACAGTGAAGAACATCTGTATGAAACGTGGCTCTGAAGAAACAAACCAGTTAACCCCAGTAGGGTGGCCTTGGAACCTAGGTACCAACTATTAATACAATACAACAGCTATGAATATACTTGGGAAGTAAGACAGAAGGGTCTCACACAGCCATGGTCCTCAGTTCACAAATGGATAACTTTTTGAAAACAATTCACTAAACTAGTGGTTCTCGACATTTATTTCTCAACACTTTTTCATCTTGTATCTGTTTATTGTAATTGACTAAAATTGCATATATTTTTGCATATATTCCTGTGGACATGTGGCTTTGAAATATGTATACATTGTGGAACGGCCAAGTCAAGCTAAATAACATGTGCCTTGCTTCACATACTTAAAATTTTCTGTGGTGAGAACACTTAAAATCTATTCTCTTTGCAATTTGTAAGACTATAATATACTGTTATTAACTATTGTAATCATGTTATACAATATAGATCTATTCCTTCTGACTGAAACTGTGCATTATCCTTGAACCAATATGTCCCTGACATTTTCCCCAAATGAATGCCATGATAATGTGACAGGTGATATTCAAATTATGTCATTAAACGCATTGCTCAAGTTTGTTCTTTTTTGAGAACCTACCCTGTTCTAGATGCTGAGAAAAGACAAATGCTAAATAACATGCACACCCTGTTCTAAACTCTACTTGGGTTTATAATTTACTAAAGCTCAATTCTGGTGGAGGAGAAAATGAACAAGTGAATACAAACGAAGAAGAAAACTATAATTTCAGGCATCAATAAAGGTTAAAGAGACAGGAGAGGTGTGAAAAGCAGAGAGGGAAGACTTCTGAGAAGACAGCTCAGTGGAAAATTAGGTCTTATGCACTTATTCTTTTTTATTTAATATTTTATTAGTTGTTGATGGACCTTTATTTATTTTTATGTGGTGCTGAGAATTGATCCCAGTGCCTCACACATGCTAGGCAAGCACTCGACCACTGAGCCACAACCCCAGCCCTCACTAATTCTTAATTCTGTTCATTCTACTCCAAAAAACTTACTTACATAGGAATTTTTCATAAATGATTTTAAAAAAAAACCTTTTTCTTTTTCACCATCATATTCACAACTTTACTATAGTGAAACACTTGTCTTCCAGTGATTACAACAATAAAACATGCTTATTTAAAAAGTCAAACAATACAAAATTATATGAAATGAAGTGAGAATTTTTAATAATTCTAATATCAAAGATATACAGTATAGTTTCCTGAGTTTCAACAGCCACATAGTAAAATATATATTTGTATATATATTTTTTCTTCTTTTAAGGAAAAAAAATAAGATCAAACTATTGGTAATGTTCTGAAACTACCTTTGTCTGCTTTATCATCTGTCCAACATACAGGTGTCCTTAGGGCAGGACAAGCCTAGGGTTAAGAGTTCCACCACATACAGAACACTTTATATGAAAAAGAGAAAGAGGCAAAAGGACAAAGTAATTTGTTATAGAGGTTACTAAATATACTAAAATGTACACAGTGGCCAGTCCCAGCCCCCAAATTCAACAAATATTTCTGACCAAGGATGAATTTATAATGTCTCCAAGCCTCAGTCTCCTCATCATCTTATCAGATTTACTGTGGAAAACAATGAAATGAAATGTGTAAAGTGCAAAAATACAATGTTGAGGCTGCAGCAAATATTAAATAAATAATTGCAAAAATAACTATTATTTTTATTTTTAGGAAAAGAAAATCATAATATGTGAAAACATTTTGAAATGGGACAAGAATAGGGCCCAGAGGGGCACACCTGTAATCCCAGCAACTTGGGAGGCTCAGGCAGGAGGATCGCCAAGTTCAAGACCAGCCTCAGCAACTCAGTGAGGCCCAAAGCAACTTAGAGAGACCTTGCCTCAAAATAACATTAAAAAGGGTTGGGGACGTAGTGGTAAAGGGATCTCTGGGTTCAATTCTCAGTACCAAAAAAAAAAACCCCAAGTGGACAAGAACTTTACAAATGTAGTCTTCCATCAGAAATAAAAACAAAAAAAGAGCACAGGTAAAAGATAAGAAAGGGCTCATATAATGGCACCTTGTCTTAAGCCATCCTTCCCTGAAAGTTCCTGAAAAAAAGAGGTCAGCATATTCTCAAAATGTGGCACATACCACTGCAAAGGCATAGAGACTTATACTACTTGGTATAAACCAACCCCAAGGAAACTTTTAAAATGCAGAGAATTGAATTATTCATTCAGTGTAGTGGCCTTTGTCTGAAAATCTAACCCAGGAATAATGTGTATTGAAAAGATGTCTTTTCTGATAATGACAAAATATACCCCTTGAGGAAATCATATTGGCAGGCAAATTAATCAGGAAAAAATAACCTGGTCTTTGATGAGCTCCACTGCAGACTCCTCAAGATCCAACTCATAACACAGCCTCATGAAAACAGGTCCAAACTTATATTCCCCCAAAGTGACATTTCTGTTCTCTGTATGGTACCTGGTAATCAAAATGATTCAATAAGTCAAAAGGTGGGACACAGTAAAAAGGACAGATAACAGCATGGTATGCACTCTGCTAGGTGCTAAGGACACAATAAGGAATGAGATACTCCAATCTGGAAAGAGAAAAGTGGAGATTTGAACAAAATCAGAGAATCCTGGAGAGCAGAAATATGTCAGGCATTTTAAACAGACTCTATTGGAGGCCAACAAACACTGTGCAATAAAAGCAAGAGGAGAAAATGTACATTGCGATCATTCTCTAAATTAAGCATCAATGGAATTGATCTGAGAATAAGGCTAAGTTAGGAAACAGCAGGGTTCTGTCTCCTCAGAACTGGCCCCACCTACAAGAAAAGAAAGGTAAGGAGCAGGGTTGATGGTCTGGGCTCCTCCAAGCTGGCTTCATGCCCATACAGGACAGCAGACAACTGACACATTTCACAATTTATGGCGATCTCTGCTTTTATAAGCTCACAAAAAAAGCAGGCATATGTGAACCATGACCACCTAGTATAAATTAAATGCACTTATATAATTTGTAAGTCTTGGGAAAAGGTGAATTTCAAGGACAGCAATGTATTTTATGTAGCTTGAGAGTTCTATAGGTGGCCAGTCTGAAACTGCAAAACTGTGAATCAATAGTACAAGTTACTTACAATAACCCACCCTTCCTGTAGACACTGTGAGGATAATCTGGTGAACATGTCAATGATTTTCATGACGTGAATGATTTTAAAATATGGAGAAAAGCTCTGACTTTACAAAAGAGAATATTTTTTACCCTTTGCTGAAATAACTGAGGCAAGTAGGAGAGGCATTATGGCTGGTCTATTCTAAACTTATGTACTGCCCAGGGACTATGTACTTTTGAAGATACACTTTATAATCCAACTTCAGAAGTTATAAATTATTCACTGCTTCATTATAACTCTTTTGAATTAAGTTATGAAAAAACAAGAGCAAGTAGTGGTTAAGGAATTTAGACTCCAATTCCAAAATGCTGGTTCAAATTCCAGCTCTTCTACTTACAAATTATGTAACCATGAGCAAATTAACAAAACCCTTCAGTGCCTCAGTTTCCTCATCTATAAAATGGAGAGAAGAGAACTCAACTCAAAATATTCTGTGAAGATTAAATGAGATAAGACTTGCTTATAGGACACAGGAAGTCCTTAGTATGTTAGCTCTTATACAACGCACGGCATGCTGAGAAACACCTCTAAAATCTGTACTTCAGTACAGTCTCATATGAAACTTGTGACAGATTAAAAACAACAGAAAGCAAAAACAAATGTTTTCCTGAGTTGACATTTACATTCAAAATGAAATTCAAGACAATAAAAGTGCTAGAAAGTCACTGAGATAATGAACTGCCACTTGACAAGAAATATTCAAGTAAGAGGATGTAATATCCCTCCACAAACCAAATTTCAGCATTTGGTCAAGACTATAAGGGGATTAAGTTACTCCCCATTTGTGGCTTTATTAAAAGATAAAAAACATAAAATTTATTTCTGTTTCAGTTCATGACCCTCTTTCCCATCTTCCCACTTGTCCAGCTATCTACAGAGGGAAAGGCCAACTGGGTAGAATTATTTGCATCAATAAAGAATTGAGAGTCATACTTTGAATGTTTATGATAAAAATAAGAGTGGAAAGAGTGTTCAGAATTTTTAACCCATTTTGCTACTCTTACAAACATCTGTTGGCTTTAGGTAGTAAAAGGAGGAGTGAGAGGGGAAATTGCCAGAAGGTCCCCAATCATTAAACACCATGAAATTTGAGTATGCAACTGTAAATCAGCCTAATCCTTTCGTAAAAACATTATGACATTTTATACTGACAAATTTTAACAAGTCCCTACTGTCTGCTGTGGTTTGGATTTGGTTTGTTCCCCAGGGGTCTGTGTGGTGGAAGCTTGCTCTCAGGGCGACAACAATGAGGTATAAGTATTATTTTAGAGGTGGGGGCCTAATGGAAGGTCCTTAAGTCAACTGAGAATGCTGCAAGGAATTAAGGTGGTTTTTGACCTGTTGGTAGTTCTTGAGAGACAGTTGTTACAAAAGGCCAAGAGTGGCTCCACCTATTCTGTGGCTTCCCACATGCAGATGTGATCACATGGTTCTCATATTCTCCCACTGCTGCCATCAACTACATGGCACCATCAAGAGAAATGAGGTAATGCCAGTGCCATGAGCTAAATAAAACACTTTTTTCATAAGTAACCTGTCTCTAGTGTTCTATTATAGTGATGGAAAGCTGCCTAATACACCCTCTGATCTCCCTCACCCCAAAAAAGAAACAAAGAATTAGTTTTATGCAGAATTGCTCCTCAGGGCTTTATGTATACTGGTGAAAAACTAGAAACAATTTATATGTCCAACATATAGAGGGGACATAGTTATTTAAGGTAGTTAATTTATAATGGAGTATTATATTGTCATCAAAAGGTGTAAGGTTTCCTGGGTGCTGGGCAATATGGCACACAACCACAATCCCAGCAATTTGGGAGGGTGAGGCAGGAGGATTCCAAGTTCAAGGCCAGCCTCAGCAACCTAGCAAGAAAGATCCAGTCTTCACAAAAAGGTAGGGGTGGTGGCAGCAGCTGAGAATGTACTCAATGGCAAAGCACCCCTGGGTTCAATCCCTAGTACAACCACCAAAAATAAATAAATAAATAAATAGATAGATAGATAGATAGATAGATAAGATGCTTTCTGAATATATGTTAATAAAGGGAAATTATGCTATAATATTATTTAGAAAACAAAATATCATTACATATATAATAATAATTATAACTATATAAAATAAAACTTACCAAAAGCGTAACTTTTTGTATAGAAAAAAAATCTGTATAAAAATACTCCCAGTAGCTTCTTAGATTAATAGATGGTGGTCATCAGTTTCTTCCCTCCCTGTATGTGCATGCTGCTCCATCCATCCAGAGGGGGGATCCATTTCCCCTCACTTTGACTTTGTGAGCCAGTGCCACTCAAATTACATTAAAGATTGGTGAGGCATTTCAGGAGAGCACATGTGGCCACATGGAGGTAGCAGAAATTCAAGTGAAGCCTTCTTGGACCCTCCAGCACCTTCTAACATGGGAAGCTCTACTAATAAATCAGAAAGGTCAAACAGGTCTAAGGAGGAAGCAGAACAGCTAGGAGTCCACGGAACTGATCGAAGAAAGAAACACTGAAGCCTGCACTGATATCAGTACTAGGGAGTGAGCAAGCACTGGGATTTCTTATTCCATCCGGGAAATGAGGGAAATCAGACTAAGGGAAAAATGCTCCAAAATATTTGTCCTGTATGACAGGTCAATTAGATAGAAGACACAGGAAGAGAAATAAGTTTGTGTATGTTAAGAGGGTAGGGAAGTGGAATCAGTGATTAGATTGATGATTTCTTTGTCCATGAATTACTGTAGCCTGTCCTCAGCCCCTGGCATGTAGTGCAAACCCAGTAAGTGTTCATTCAGTGAATAAATGTCAGTGTCTGGGGTTTAAAGCAAGGCATTTGGACAAGATTTGGAAAGAATCAATGTAGAGGTGATAGCTGAAATCTTAGAGGTGGGTGAAGTTGCTCTGGGAAAGGAACAGAATAATAAGAAAGGAAGGCTGGAGGAATTCTAAAGAAATGCCTCACCTGTACATGACATTTTTAGCCAGCTCCACATCATCCCGGGTCTGACACAAATGAAGCAAAGTTCTCAACTCGTCCTTTAAGATGAGTTTGTTCTGGGTCAATTTCTCTTCCAAGTTTCTAAAATAGGTTTCTGGAAGAAAGCACAGGATGTGGCCATCACTCAGGCTAAGACTGTAAGGGGGTTGACCTCAGGGAAAACGGGAAGCTCACTGCAAAGGGGCACTGAAAGGGGTTGCTGAGCATATAGCTCCCCTCACTGACTGATTCCTCTAGAACACTGAGTGTCATGTGTCCCTAAAGCAAACCTGTGACATAGGGTTACTGGCCCACGCCCCACTCAAAACTTTCTACAACAGAACTTCTACGAGTGGGAGTACACAGAAAGGCATTTTTGATTCTCTGGGAGATCCTCAGGTATGCCAACTTTTGAGAACTACTGTCCCAGAGTCTTACCCAAATAACCTAATCTACAGGAAGCTTACAAGAAGAAAACATAATCAGATACCCAAATCATCAATTAGCAGGGCACCAAACAGGAAAATGAAATTGTGATCTGAACATGGGTTTATCCATGATGTTGACTTCATGTTTCTTTTATCTGGCTCATTTTCACTTTTCTTTCATTCCTCTTGGTTTCTCTTTACTCAGTTCTTAGAAAGCATGCCACAGTACTATATAACTTTTTTAAAAAGTCCACTAGTGAGCATTTAGTAACAGAAGCACTTCAAGGTCATCACAGTCTAGCTTTGTCCCTTATCTTTGTGTCTAATCAACTATAGGGACAAACACCAAAAGGAAGCACTGCTTCTTGGCATTAGGAAGGGGCTACATTATCACTAAATGTGGGGTGGGATGCAAGGCAGGAACCAAGCAAGCATCTGCTTTCCAGGGCTGTTCTCACATTGGAAGCTGCCAAGAAATATCTACAATTTGTTCCAAGGCCCAGAGCTTTGAAGGAATGCTGCTGGAAGTGGCACAATATATATTAAAACACAAAAACTAGAAGTTGATTTACAAGAAGACACACTTGGTTTGACAATGCAAAGGATCTTCTAATCTATTTGTAGAGCCATACAGTGGTTAAAGGTTTTAGAGCCCAGAACCTGGGCTCTGCCATTTGCATGCTCTGGAGGAGACCTTTGTACAGAGACTATATTACTTGTGTATAAAGTGAGATCTCATGGGCTACACGGTATGTCTGAAAACACTTAACACCATACAGTAGCTGCTAGTAAGTAGTAACATTACTGACCTCATTTTCACTCTGCCTCCTATTAGATCTAAGAGGATTTAGTCTATTAAATATTTCTAAGCAATTTCCAATATGAAAGATCTCAAAAGGATAGTTTTACATGTTGAACCTCCTAATCCCTCTTAACAAATCTTAAGAATCCACAATGTCAAAAGATGTATGTTGTACATTAAAAAACAAATCAATCAGCATTTAATGGCTTATCATATATTTATATTCAGAGTCATTCTTTGAGAATGGTTCCTGCACTCAAAGAGCTTAAAGCCTATTCAGGAAGGCAAAATATATTTATACAAAGCTATCTGAAAACAATGATGGAAGAGGGACATGTGAAGGACTATAAACACAATAGGACAGAAGAGTCCTGTCATGAGAGCTATAATGACTCAGTGTGGCAGGACAGACCAGATTTGGTGGAATTGGACAGATACCAGTAGGGACTGAGTAGAGCTGGAGAAACAAGGCAGGGGGTCATTCTGGGTACGGGAATCAGCAAGAGTAACAGAACAGAATTGGGGGTAAAAGCATTATGGAAAGAAGAGCAGTGACCAGATGAATAAGAAGCTACACTGGACACCAGAGAGGGTCGGGTCCATTATGGCAGGGATAGAAGCCATCGGGTAAGGAGCCATATGATATGATATGGTATACAACATAGTGCAGTTGTGGATTCTCAAAATGGAAGAACTGCTGACAGGAGTTTAAAAATGCCAATTTGACAATGTAGTATGTTGGCACTAATTAGATTATCTTTCAGGACATGTGAACCACTGTCAGTTTTATAAAAGTCTATAACAATTGGAAACAACAACTAGATAATGATATGGGGCCCTAACTATAAACCTCAAATAGGTCAAAAATACCTGGGGCAAAAAGAAGTCTAGATTATTCAGTATAATGAACTGGAGATAAACACATTATATCGCACTTCTTAAGTCTTATTTTTGTATTACATACAAAATTGGGTGGTGTTACATAGCAGTATCACTAGTGAAGCAGTGGGGGATGACTGATTTCTAAAGGAACAGCTGGGAAGGAATGAAAGCAAGAAGTGTTACTTGGGTGCTCACAATAATTTCCCAGTGAGAAGGAGAGCTGGGATTATAGCTGGAAAAGTCAATAGAGACAAATTAAGAGTTATTACAAAAGAGGAATGTCTTGGAAATATTCATAAAGGAGTTTGAAGTACCAGGATAAACTCTCTGTTGGAGGGAAGAACAAAGTTTCTCAAATGTTGAAAGGAAATAAACCTAAGATAGTGGTATTCTTGTGTTTTTAGCTTTTGTTACCAGCAATTGAACTCAGTGCTTAACCACTGAGTCACATCCCCAGCCCTTTCTTTTTATTTTATTTAGAAACAGGTCTCACTGAGTTGCTTAGTGCCTCACTGTTGCTGAGGCTGGCTTTGAACTCAGAATTGTCCTGCTTCATCCTTCCAAGCTGCGGGGATTACAGGCATGTGCCACCGCGCCCAGCATGTTTTTAGCTTTTTAACAAAAAAATTTTAAGCTCACCCAAAAGTAGAGAAAAATTACCATCAGCCAACCTCAACAATTATTAATTTTTTTTCCCTCTACACTGCCCCCAAACACACTGGACTTTTTAAACTCCAGGTTTTATACAAATTCCTCCTGTTTTTTAAAAAACCCTTGATCCTACTGACTTAAAAAAATATCAAAATGAGCTAGACTCAATGAATGGTGCATACCTGTAAACCCAGTAACCTGGAAGGCTGAGGCAGGAGGATCACAAATTCAAGGCCAGCCTCAGCAAAGTGGCGAGGCCCTAAGCAACTTAGTGAGACCCCATCTCAAAATAAAAAGTAAAAAGGGCTGGGGATGTGGCTCAGTGGTTAAGCATCCCTGAGTTCAATTCCCAGTATCAAAAACAAAACAACAAGAAAATCAAAATGCATCATCACATATAGCACCGTTTTATTTCATTCACATGTCTATGTGATTAAATATATTTTTCACTGAAAGCTACATAAAAGTTTGAAAGCCGGTCATCTGGAGTTCTTATATATATGTGTGTATATGCATGTGGCGCCTTTCTATTTGCATCTCTTCTTGGACTCTGGGTCAAGAGGTAAGAGGAAAGCCGTAGACTTTGTAGTAGTAGAGTGTGAAATGAAAGGTGAATCTAAGGGTAGTCCAGGAAGCTAAGAAGAAATGTTATCAACTTGAGATTGAAGGTCACCAAAGCAAAGAATGAATAGAGACAAAGAGGAAACTGAAATGACAGATAAAAGAATTAACAAAATAAATTCTATTTACCTTTGGTGTCAGGAAGATTATATGCAATAGCCAACTTCTTATGTTGAAATTCTTTTAATTTCATGATATTATCTGTAAGTAGATATCTTTTAGCTAAAAATTAGGGGAAAAAAGTTACATCATTTTTACTGCTTTACACTTAGCAAATAACATAAGTAGAGTCTGATCTAATGATCTGATCTTATTGTTATCTATTATAATATGACATAAACTTGGTAGGGAAAAATATCTTGAAACAACCAGCAAATGAAAGTACTCAGTAAAATAAATTTTGTTTGTGTGTGAAAGGAGCTAGTTATTAACTGTGTATGAGGAGTGGTTGACAGGAAGCTGAGATTTGAAGGACAAAATAGTTGTTTGCCATGTGGTTTAAGGGTAACAGACATTTTTTTTAAGCTGTCATTTAAATGTAAAACAAGCATATCGTGTTTTGGTTTATCTGGGAGCATATAGTAGAGTGGAAAAAGCTATTATTCAACCACTGAAACTTCTAGTTTTGTCCTTTGTGAAATAAAAGGATCATGGCCTTTCAGATCTGGACTCTATCCTCAAGATAAATCATCACAGCAGCTTAATAATCTGAGAAATATCCATACTTCGGAATTCTCGGCTGTGCATGATATCAAATGGATGAAGAATGGCAAAGTACCCAATAAAAGAATTCTGTGTACTGCTAATATTTATAAAAAGGCAGTCCATGGCATGATTGGGAGGTCTCCACTGTTAACCTAGTTCAAATCTTGCCTCTACCAGTTCCCTGTGACCTTGGGCAAATGACTTTAACATTGTAGTATTTCCTTCTCTGTAAACAGAGGTTTTCTCCCACTCTGAGGAGGTAAACCTCTCCCATTGAGTGTTTGGAGGAAAGGAGTTATTACATGTAAAATGCATTAGAAAAATGTCTGACACAAAGTGCTAAATATGTTTATCATCACTCACTAGCATTCTCAGGTTTAATCATTGGTAAAGTGGTAAGGATAATCTTGAGAACGAGGAAACCCTTTCAAGGTCTTTTTATTTGTAGCAGCAGAGCTGAGAGTCCAAACTAAGATCTTCCCTCCTAAACCCTGCCCAAAGGGTGAGGAGTGTCCCGGGAGAGCAAGTCGCCCCGTGCACTCCTCCTTCCGTTACCACGCACTGGGGGCTTTCACGACCCCCAGGGGTCACTGCCATACCCACGTGCGACTGGAGGGCAAGGGCGCGCTCCAGGCCGATGAGCGATTCTCCAACGAGAAGCCTGCCAAGGCTTAACACTCCCTTCCTTTCCATCCCCTCCCCCCCTTCCAAGGCCTGATGCCGCGGATACCTCCGAGTGGGCACCGGCAGCAGTTGGAGCCTGCGGCTTCCACCCCGGGATAAAAAGAAGTCCGTGTCGTTTGCTGCAGAGCTCGTTCCAAGGACCGAAATGCAGCCATATTGTCCCGGGCCGCACCACCTGTGAGAGCTGGGGCGGGGGACGGATCGCCGAAAGCTCAGAACAGGACTCATCCAATCTCTGAGCCCACAGGGCGGACTGTGTCCCGCCCCTTCCCTGCCTACGGCCCCCGGCCGGCCCTCCTCATGGTACGCTCCAAGATGGCGGCCCCCATGGTGCGGCGCTGGCTGCTTCTGGCTCGGAAAGTTCCTCTGCCTCACCTCTACCCGGCAGGTTGGTGACTGCTGCCCTGGTGGGGCTTCTTCATTAGGCCCCTGATTACTCCATTCCTTGAATGAAAGAAGCGACAAGCTTTCCAGAAGAGAGCAAATGCTTTGGGGATCTGGTTGCTAGAGAAGCCATTCGAGGTGTGTGTTAGCGCAGAGAGGAGAGGTAGTCAGTCTCTGACCCATCTCCTTCCTTAAAATAGTAGTATCTGCCAGGTCAAAGGTGTGAGAAGCAGAGGAAGGTTATGGCATGAGAGATTTTGCGTATGATTGTCAGATTTGTGTGTTAAGGTGGTCGTCTTTTTGCCCACCATGAAAAGGTGTAATACATCCACCCCCTGATCTGTTTTGAAATTTTGGTCCTTGAAAGTGTTTCAGAATTAAATGGAGAAAACATTTCTTTTTTGTAGTGGGTAGTTATTTTAGAGACTATTATTGCCCAAGCAATATTATCTGAGAGTAAGCAGGTTCAAGACAGTTTTCTCCCACTCTGAGGTTTCCCAGGAGAGGCATCAGGTAAATGTTTTCCTTACCATCTCGCCTTTCCAGACCCCTGGTCTTCACTTTGCATAAGATTTTTGCAGTATTTATCTCACTTTAACCTAATGACCTTGGACACAATTCTTGAACATTTCTTTGCTATAGTTTTCCAGGTGCAGATAACAAATGCTAATAACTACTTGTAAAATACTTTGAATCTGATGAGGAAAACTTTGGGGAAAAGTTTTTAAGTATTTACAGAAGTCAAGTTTACAATGATTTCAGCCAAATAATCTTGGTAGATGTGCATGATTACTTGATTAAAATGCAATAATCATACTTAGTGTTTCCAGTGGCTTTTATCTCCTCTTTTCAACCAATTCCCTTAGCCCCTATTAAAAATTAGCGCACTCTGGCTCACACTTAAGGAACAGCCATTAAATATCAACACAAGATAGGTGGCCACAAGAAGTTTTCTGAAAAGTAAGTGGTTGCCTTAGCTAGTAAAAATATTTAATGCCATGCATTTGGCAAAATTGGTATGCATAAGTATTAGCCACTCTAACAAAGAAATGGAAATTAGGGTGAATTGAGAGACTTTCCAGATGGCATTTTGGATTTAGTTTGAACTGTTGAGCTTCTGGCAAGTTATACTTGTGCTATTCCAACATGGTAGTTATTAGCATGGGTCGCTATTTAAATTTGAAATAAATATAAATAGAATGAAAATTTCAGTTGTATCGTGACACTACTTGTATTTTAAGTGCTCAGAGAATGGATGTGGCTCTTGGCTACTATTTTGGATAACTTAGAATTGAACCTTTTCATTATTGAGAAAGTTATATTGAACAAGCACTGGGTTGGACATAGATGAAAGTAGTCTCAAAGTCAAGAACTGAAAGCTATAAGGGAGGTGATATAAGTAAATAGAGTAGTTCAACACAGACCACTTGGAATTTGAAAATTCTGATAAGGAATAAGGAGCTAGATTTATGGCAAAATTGAAGCATTTGCTCCATTACAGGAGAGGAAAAATGTTTTGTACAAATTCATGACATAGATTTGCAACACTGGTGCTTCTATCTGTTCTTCTTAAAATCATATGGAGGAGTACAACTAAAATGATCAAGAGAATGAAAAGAAATTTAACTGACATGAAACCCAAAAAGAAAATGACATTTATCAAGAGCCTAGAGGAAAGAAACCTACTAGACATCATTACATAGTTGACATTAAAACATTAATAATGCACTCAAATTACTGAGAGGCATTGTTTTCCCATCCTGCATAGAAAGAGGGAAAGAGGCTCACAGATAACATGTACTTTGCCCAGTGTTTCAAAGCATTTATTATTAACAAGGCAAGGATTTAGAGTTACCTTGTGACTCTAAGGCTTATCTATTCCCATAATCACACTGCTTCCCTTTGAATAGGGAGAAATGTTTGGAGACATTTGATTATTGATGGAGCCAGTCAGTTTTCATCAAACTTTGAAATTTTGGTCCTTGAAAGTGTTTCAGAATTAAATGGAGAAAACATTTCTTTTTGTAGTGGTGAGACTATTATTGTCCAAGCAATATTATCTGAGGGTAAGCAGGTTTAAGAAAACTTTGTATATACTTTTAGATGGTATATTCAGAGTAGGATTGAACAGGTTTACAAACCTAGAACTATAAGGCTGGTATCTGTTCCTTTGCTAATTCAACTGTGATCTGAGGAATGTCTTCATCATCATTACCTAGGAACTTATTTAGAAATGTGGAATCTGTTCCTGCTCTGAACCTACAGAATCAGAATCTGCATTTTAACAAAAATTGATATGCATACTAAGATTTGAGAATCTGATCTAGATAGTCCACTTGGCTGTTGTCCACTCCATTCAATGTTCTTTCCCTGATTTTGTAGAAATGCTTTGGTTGTAACATTAATATACAGACCTTCAATTCATGCACAGAAATGGAAAGAATTACAAATGCTGTCATTTATAAAGTATTTCAGAAAGATGAAAATCCTGCTTTAAAAATCTTAACAGAAAATGTGTTCTATTGCTTTTATAGCAAATTAACACAAATTTGGTGGCTTAAAATAGCACAGATTTATCTTAGTATTCTTTGGGTCAACTGTCTGACCTGGGGTCTTATCATACTAAAATTAGGGGGTTGGACTGGATATGTTCCCTTTTGGAGTCTTTAGGGGAGAATCCATTCCTTTGCTTTCTCTGTATTCTAGAGACCTTTGCATCATTGAGAAAGTTATATTGAACAAGACCACTCACATTCCTTGGGTTACAATCCCCTTTCTACATTTTCAACGTGAGCAATGGCCAATCATTGTAAGGTCCTCACTTAACTGTCCTTCACATATCACGTTTACCAACAGACTCTTCTGTCTCCTATTTTTAAGGACCCTTGTGATTACATTGAACCTATCTGTATAATCTAGGACACTCTCCTATCTGATTAGCAACCTTAATTCCCCTCTACCATGTAACATATTTATAGGTTCTAGTAATGGGGCATGGACATCTTTGAGGGCTATTCTGCCAACCATACTTGGTAACTTATTCCCATGTTTGTCATTGGTTTGTATTAAAGCAACTATAGAAATTATCTATTTGCCAAAATTAAGTTCTTTATCCTTGTATCCATTTCTTTTCATTATACCCTCAATATAGATTGAGAATGATTACCTACTACTTTTTTAAGCAGAAAAAGACATATATAACCAGGCACTGAGTACACATGCTTGTAATCCCAGTGACTAGGGAAGCTGAGGCAGGAGGATTGCAAGTTTGAAATCAGCTCCTGCAATTTAGTGAGATCCCGTCTCAAAATTAAAAAAAAAAAAAAAAAAAAAAAAGTTGGGGGAGGGTGTGTGTGCAGGGAATGTAGCTTAGTGGTACAGTGTCCCGGGCTTAATCCTTAGTCACACACACACACACACACACACACACACACACAAAAAAAAAAAAAAAAACATATAAACATACACACATACCTTGGGGGGAGCCTGGGTTTATCTTTTGTAAAGTTATTAGTCCTAATTCATTTTCGTTCTAGTTTGTTCATTTCTCTTGAACAGTTGCACACAGAGGGTGTTCTGACAGTTCTCAAGTCTTCTTTCCATTACCTCTCCAGCTTTGTATTTCTCAATACAGAACACTTGAGCAGTGATCTAAATAATTGTCTTTTCTGACTCCAGAAAAGGAGCCTTCCATAGAAGGGTGGTTTCTTATGCTAGAATGAAGATGTAGAGAACAAATAAGAGATAATAATAATAAAAGTAAAGGATAAACCACTGGTATCTTGAGTAAGTAGCTTAACAGCTTCCTCAGTTCATGTTCACATAGAGAAGGGCTGCCATTGTTCCCCACAGAATTGAGAGAGCCCTTACTGGTTTTAGAAATTGGCATTCAGTTTACATAAAAATGCTGTTATAAGTAATAAATGAATATCTGAATTGATGCTTTTGGTTCTGTGTCAGTGACTGTTAGAGCCTACAGTGACCTTAGGTATCACCTAGTCTTGCTTGATTTGCAATGGTAGAATCTGAAATTTTCTAATAGCTGGTAAAACTCAAACTAGAACTCAGATCTCCTTTCTCCTTAATTGGTGTACAACTCTACACCTAACATAATACCAACAGCTTTTAATCATCCTTCTTGTTTTGATTCCTAAATTTAGGAATATAACTAATAATTTATAATATTGTTTATGAGACGTGACTCAAAGTTATAAATATCTAATACTTTCATAAAATCCATTTGAAATGTGATCACTTAAATAGTTGTTTTTTTAGAATGTCTTTGTGCCCCTTTTGAAACAGTCTTAAGAAACTTTTTCTTACTGTATATATCATTGTTTAAGTTTTAGGACTCAAATTTAGATATTCTAATAAAGATCTGATCTGTGCTTTAGATAAGAGAAGTATTAGATTGTGTATAAATACACATGGATGGATCTGGTTATTTTAATTGAAGGATGGATAGAGAATATCTATTATTATGTTTAATTGGCCCATCCCGTCTAGTTAACGTTTGGCTTATTGTCTGCTATGACCTACAGGTGATCATCAGCCAATCGTTCTATTTTGTTTTTCCTTTTAAAAAATAGGTTATTAAGATATAATACATATGATATACAACTCACCCATTTGAACTATAAAATTCAATGGTTTTTTAATATATGCACACAGTTTGCAGCCATTACAATCAATTTTAGGACAATTTTTATCATTTCAGAAAGAAATCCCATGTTCATTATCAGCCATTTTTCATTTTCCCCCATGATTTCCCAGTCTCCACTCCCAGCCTTCTACAACCA